GAAAAATAATAATAACTAGATATGAAACTCGTTGCGAGCAACGAGAGGTCTTCCGTCCGATTCCGGAAGGAAAACGTTAGATCGAACAGAAAAATTGAAAAAGATTTGCACACAAGGGGGATTGAACCCAAGTCGCCAGCATGAAACTCAAACGCACTAAATACTAGGATATCGCGACCTCTACTCTAAATCTACTTGTATATATGTATAAAACAGTGCTTCTGTCTTAATATTATGAAAGGCAGGTCACTATTCAAAATTCAGCGACAAAAGCCACGAGTTAATCTTCGCAACTTTTCTTTGGATATTCTATTAAAAAGGTGTGATAGCTTTAATGAAATTAAATAAAGAACATTCTTATATTCTCAATTCGAGGTTTAGAAAGTATATTTAACACACTTTATCGTATATAAGCAAGTAACACGGAAGCCGTGAAACGGGTATGAGTTTTTAACTTTTTTTCAATTTCCTGTTCATTCCCAAATTGAACTATTCCGATAAGTTAATTGAAAAAGGTTGAAATGTTTCGCCGAAAAACATGGCTCGTCCTACAACGGTCATGGAATCAGATCTCATTCTTGCTCAATAACTCTGAGACAAGAATGCTAAAATAAACTCCATGAAGCGATCTTTTTTTTTAAAAAAATCTTTTTTTTTTGTCTTATTTATTAGTTTAATATGACACAACTGTGCATAGGAAAAACTGGTTAAGATTTATACTTAAATTAATTGATATTCTTTTTTGAGAAAGCATTACTTATAAGCATGATTAGAGATCTGTTTTTCCATGGTGTACAAAAGATATTAGGTATCGAATTTCATTTGCACATTTAGTCTTTTACCAAATATATAAGACGTTAGTTTGACACAGAACTGCAACGAAACTACGACGTGACAATCCAAGTATTCCTACACATTTCATATATCCTTATGTTACTTTCGTTCAAGCAAACGCTCGGCTGCCTCCGTAAACCCCTATTGCGAAATGTCGGCGTTGACAGAGACAGCCGCCATTTTGGACCCGCTTCAGATTTTTGAATGCTAATATCTAGAGTTTAGATTTATCAACATTCAAACAAATTATATAGTAAGCATTATAAGGAGGACTTCTATTACCATACCAAAAATAAATGAAAAATACTGAAAAACAAAAAAGTTAGAAAATACGATTTTTTAACATTTGCAACTCGTAACAACCGGAAGTACTGACGACGCACGAAAAGGTGATTCCGCAAACCACAAAGTGACAAACTATCGTCTCCAATAAGTCTCCAGTTCATATCCTTAGCCATTTTCGATAAAAAGGGGCGACAAAATTGCATTTTAAAATCAGGAAATTGTCCATAACTTGGCACCAGAAGCGAATTTTCCAAATTTCTCTTCGGATGTAACAATTTCATATAATGACACATATTTTGTGAAAGTTTCATGAAAAACCACTGAATAGTTTTCGAGAAATCGCCTGCACAAAATTTTGTCAAAAAAAATAATAATAATAAGAATAATAAGAAACAGTAGAATCACTATAAGGTCTTCCGTGAAGACGGAAGACCTTAATAAGAATAACCAGAGCAAAGCTCGTTGCAAAGCAACGAGTAGGTCTTCCGTCCTGTTTGACCGGAGGTAGCTTTCATTTTTGACAAAAATGAGAAATAACGACCAAAAATGCTTTGAATCCTCTAAAGCTAAGTTAATTAATACAAAAACAAGCCATTTTTTGCTACTTCCGGTTTGACCGGAAGTAACGATGACACACGGAAAATTAATTTTTAAGCTCCCAGAGACATATGTTACCCAAAAACTTGTCAAGAACGGCAAAAATACGCGTTTTTCGACTACTTCCGGTTTGGCCGGAAGTGACGTCGTCGGACGTATTTTGATGACGCCAGTAAATTAAGCTTGACATTTTGAACAACTTTGCTTCTTTGACGTATTACAAATTCTCAATACTTTTTGAGATATAAAGGAAAAACTTTCGGCCCCTGTAGGCCCTTCATTTTAGGGGCCAGCCCTTTTTTGGAGATATCACTTGAAAGATCGTGTAATTCTACACTTTTTTGGTTTTACATGTTTTAACAAAATATTTCTAGGTAAAAAGTTAATGTAGAAAAGGTGTTAAAAATTTTGAAATTCTAAATAGGACTATTTTCGGGCCATAGCGAGCGTCGGCGCTTCGTACTTCCGGTAGTTGTAATATACAAAAGGCACTTCTCCAAAGATTGCTCTAGCATCCCTGAAAATTTCACACTTCTATCTTCAATGATTTTTGAGAACATTGCCGGACAATGTTACCCTCTAAAAGTGACAAAATCGCGGAAATCTCCGAACCGGAAGTGACGTCATCAAAACAAAAAAATATATACCTAGATTTTTTGAAGTTCTATCAGTCCTGAAAGTTTCATGAAAATCGATCAAGCCGTTTTCGAGAACTCGCGTGCACAAAATATGTAAGAAAAAAAATAATAAAAACTGTGGAAAAGAAACCTAAGAATAACAGAAAGGTCTTCCGCTGAAGACGGAAGACCTTAATAATAATAAGAAACAGAGTAAAAACAATATGTTCCCCAACTTCGTTTGGGGAACATAACAATATAGCAAATAGAAAACCACCAGTGCTTGATAGAAAGCGACGAAAACTATTTAGAGAACAGGAGGCGAGAAGATCTTTAGGCATATTGCAAATAGTAGATATGGATGAAGAACTTTATAGCAAATAGAAAGCCGAGAAAACTTTACAGCAAATGAAAGTGACAAAAAATCTTTATAAGTATTAGAAAAGCGACCGTACAATAGTGGATGTAGAAAGGAGAGAAAACTTATGAGGAAAATATCTGAAATTTTTTTCTTTCTCGGTTTAAACGCACATAAAGATTTAGAAAAGAACGTTTCTCCTCCTGAATTTTACAATATTTTCTAGTAACCCATTTAAAAAAAGAAATAAAGAATTCCAATTAATGAGATCAATTAGGAAGAATTTTTTATATGTCTTGACTTATAAGGATATTTAATCATTGTCTGGTTAGTTAATATAGAAACATTGTCTTCACACGAATACAGAAATGTCTTGTCTGACACCTCCGTCAGACCAGCAGATTAAAAACAATTTAATCAGTATTTTTAATAAACCCACCACAAAAAGAAGCACTTAAATTATTAAAAGTGGAATTAAGAATTTCAATTTAAATCATGAAGAAACTTTGGAATAATATATTTTTTTATTTGCTCATGGGATTTTAATGAATTAATTAATGTCTAGCTATATTTAAAATAAAAATTATATATTTGCTTCATAGAAATTAATAGAATTATCATGTCTGAAATTTTGGCTAGAAAAGAAAATTAAGAACAACATGCTTAAAAAATCTCATTTAAATCTTGTATGTTCAAAATTATACACGTAAATTAAACCAAGTCTCATAATCTTAAGAGAATATGATGAACTTAAGCATATCTCAAGCTGTTAAGAACCTACATCATTGGATATTCAGGACTGTTTAAATTCAGGACTATTATCCAATGAACGTAATACTATGTATTTTAATGTAACTATGAAGACTTGTAAGCATTAATTATGTAAGCATGCTACATCATTATTAATAATTTCATTAAATGATCTTTTATTAGAATTAAAACACTGCTCCACAATTATTGAAAATTGCTTTTTTTGGTCTTGATTATCGGTAGCTTATTGCGGAAGCTTCGGAGGATGTAATCATCCATAGAGTTAACATGATGTGAAAGCAAATATGAAACCAATGTCATTAATATCACATCTGTTAACATATGTAAATCAATTACTTTTAATCGAGGACTTTACAAAAATTGATTTCCGTTAACAAGGTCGAAAATCCACAGAGAGTTACTCCTGCGCATAATTTATAAATCCATAATACTATACGATAGAATTACCAATTACGGTATATAGTATGTTAAGTACATACCTCTGCTTTCGTAAAATTCTACTTCTTTAACTTCTAATCCTATAATATAGATTACTCTAACGTCTTTTTTATGCACAAATACGACTATCGTGTTTAAATAATTCTACTAGTACTACTTACTACATCCTCACAATGACAGGGATACTGAGTTAAGACATTGCCTCTGGACCCCTGGTATTGCAAGGATGTACTTACTGGTATTATTTTACTGATATATAACATGGACCACTGTTACTACAGACACTATTACTACTTCTTTTACTACGTCTAAAAGCTGTAGTTTTTAAGTATTTTCAAATTAAGTTATGTTTCTAGATCATTTTATTACGTGACATGGTTCATCTCTTTGATTATACATGTTGCAGCTGCGTTATGCGGGTCTCTTTTAAAAGTAGAATAATTACCTACAGTACCTGCATAGTGTTTTCTTATTCTTGCTGGATAAATGTATGTACATCTCTGACATAATACACTGAACACTCGCTTCAATTAAAATAGGAAACGTTCTGCAAAATGTATTTTATAATGCTGCATACATTTAATTTAACCCCAAGAAGCTCTCAAAAATGTTTGCGTTTCATCTGTTTCACATTGTCTTCATTTTTTAAATACATTACTTATTTGTTTTAAATATATACAATATTATTTGTTTTACAGCACACCAATCCATTTACCTCAAATATATTTCAGATACCACTATATTCCTTGATCCGTGACAGTTGATTGATAAATACTTTTATTTCTCACTAGATGACGGAGAATGATAGCAGAGAAGCTTTAATCTCTGATCGATTCTTTTCATAGAATCGTTTTTTTTTTAGATATTAATCAGGGGAAAATCCTTCTTTAAGGACAAAGTATCACATCAGTTTCTGTGTTGTGTAAATATACACAGAAGTTGCTGAAATCAAGTCACTCTGCTTCGTGATCTAGCGTCATACTTAACTCCTAGTCAATAAATTACGTCCATATTAACACACCTGTTACTTATGAGCGGTTGAGAATTAGTGAAATCAATGTGGTGTACTCTCGATTACTTTTATTTTTCAGATGATAGCGGAAATGAAATGAAATGATATTGTGAATTTCATATAATGACTCCAGTGTGATTTTTTCCCGACGTCGATCGGATAAATTTATTGGCAAAGGATTTTATGACATGTTCGGGTAAGTTTACTTTTTTTTACTAAGCAATTTAAAATTTCCATAATTTTGATGTAGAAAAGCCCCAAAAAATGTTTACATTCATGTATGTTTAAACTGTGTTTTTTGCACCAAGCGCGATGTTCCATGTTTCATTATTATTCCCTCGCAACTGAGTTGGAGAGAATATAGTGATGCGCCTGTTATTAACAAAACTGGGGTCTTGCACTTTTTAATTGAGATTCCTCGGATTGAAGTTCAAACTTTAAAAAAAAAAAAAAATCTGAAAAAGGTTGTAACGTTTGTTGTGCTTTGATATACATATTACACCAACTTTCGTGGAAGGTTCCAAAGAAGCAATAGAATACTTATTGGAGATAAGTTTCAGTGAAATGTCAACATTATTTTAGGGACATCTAAAATGATTGGCACGCTAAGACTTGTTTAAACCTAAAAGTACTCACTCTTCTTCATTTATACCCACTGAGTTTCTCCACATGACCTGAGATATACAATATTAACGACCTTTTAATGTATGATCTTGAATTGCCTTGCTTCGCATTTACATTATAAGAACAACCTACTCCAGTTTGATATAAACAAACGGGACGGGATTTCAATTCTACTTCTTATTAATCATTAGCCTTGACCTTTGACTGAATCAAAACAGATACTAGAATTAATAACCAAAAAGATCCCAAAGTTCGCATCCACCTTTACAAAAAGATGGATCTGATCTAAATAGGACGAACACACAGACAGATAACCATATAAAACTAAAATTCTTTATCTCAATTTTACTCTTCGTCCCTCTCATACACATAGGACCTTTGGTGTAACTGTTATATATATCTAAAAGCAAATAACATAATTTATACATCAAGCTACATTTTTGATTGATATCGTGAATTGAAATGATATGAAATACAGTTTCACTTCAATTCACCTATAATTTATTCTAGCGGAACTCAACATTTCTAGTACTATCAGATTGAATTGAAATTCACAAACTGATATATGTTTAATGACAAATGTTCGACTGAGTTTAATTAAACTCAAGTAAAAGTGATTCACTTCTACCTCTGATCTCACAAACTTTCGTTAATTTGAAATGAATTTCTTTTACTTTTGTTTATATTTGTTTATCCCCCATTCCTTTAACCTTGTGTCCCTCAATGACTCAGTTTTGTCCAATATGTAATTTTCATGGTGATAATTGGGACAATACAGAATTATCTGAAGGTAATGGAGCAATGTAGCCGTTGCTTTTTACATATAATATGATTCACCTGTGCTAAGGTCTATGTACAGATTATGTACGGTTATCCATCACGATGAATTCTCTTATTATAGACTGTAAATTAATAGCCATTGATACATAAAGGTCATTGTACATCTTGTTTTTCAGTACAATGTATTATTTTTAGACGATCTGGAATCAGTTATACAAAACGTTGTTTGTCCACTTGGACAGAGGCGTAAGCCCTCTTTATAAATTCAATAAAAATTTAAATGAATAATTTGATGATATATTTCTTTGAAATTTTCCTCAATGTGGCATATAGCTGTAGTACTTTGTTTTCTTGGGCAGTGGAGGAGGTTTTGGTTCCTGAAACACTGCAAAATTAAATACCCTCTATTTAATATCATGTGTAGATTTCCAGCTGTTTTCTATTTGAAAAGAGGTCATTCTGTCACGACTCTTTAAAATTATGATGGAAATGCTTCCCATATTTCAATCCTAGTAGACAAAATTTAATATTTGAAATATCGGTATGCTGAAGATATTATCTAAGCTCCAAAGTTCATACAAATTGAGAGCTGAGTAAACAAGATCAGAAGTGGAATCAGGTACCATAGAGGAATAACTATCTCCTGTCAACCAGTTTCACCGCTATGATCGGGAAAACAGAAAAAATGTGGACAATTCAGTGTGTAAATAATAGTCTAACATTTGTTATAAAAAATTGTAAGCATTTAACTTAATGATAGATTTAACAAAGTCATTGTATCGACGATAAAATTATTAAAATGATGACTTCATATCGTTTTTTTTTTCAATTTGTTTCTCAATAGCTAGCCTCGTTTAAAAAAAAAAAGTTGTTCGCATGTACAGCTTGCTCTCGTGTATCGAAATCAACTAAAACACCCTTAATGCAGAATGATGGTAAGGGTATATTACTACACAGGGTTGAAAATACACAAATTAAGGTTCATCACATTTATCATAGTTTTGTTGTTAAATTACCATTATTGTCGTTTTCTAGATAAATATCCAGACATGAAACAGATGTATCTGATTCTGTGATATCTTTTGTGTTGCATTTAAATAAATTTAAATAGATATAATGATAAGGAATGACTGACTGGTTTGTTTGGTATACAAGCATACCACAACGTCCTTCATTATCTCTTGATACTAGTAACTCTTCCTTCCCACTCCATATTTCACGAAAACCTTGACCATTGGGTCAAGTTTACCTTTTGGAATCGATACCACTATCTTTGGGGATGAAGTTCTTACAAGTTTAAATTTTTTTCTGCTATATGCAATACATTAACACGGAAAAACTTTGAATCAGGTCATGATAAATGATCTATAGTCATATGGGAATTTTGGGTTAGTGATTTAATTATTTTTTTCTTCTTTGATAGTTAAAACTAAGTGATTATTATATAAATACTTTATTTTCAGTGCCTTTGAAGTTTTGGACTGTGAAGTTTTAATAAAAGTCTTTCTTTCAAATTATTAACTTTCAGATCTACCTTGATGTGCATTTATACGATCACCATCGTGATTGTTATACTTATATCATAAGAATACATATTTTAACATGCAATATAAATAAAGTATATGCATTTAAAATGTTTACATATGGAACGATAATCAAGCCCAAAAGTTTATTGAAACGACAAATTGAAAAAAGAGCAAACACTTACCTCTAAAACACAAGGGGCTGGATCAGATGCCATTGGAGAGTAAGCATCCATGCCATTTGCTCCTTGTCATTTTAGGGAAACTGGAAAATTGTGTTGTTTGTTTTATTTGTTGTTGTTAATCCTTGTTTCCAAATTTTAACTTTATTCCCTTAGGAAAATTTTTCTTTTATTAATTTTATTCATATGGAGAAAACACCATCACATGCCGGTGGCACACTCGTGTTATGTACTTTTTGCAAATTTATATCTTTATTTGGGACTATATTTGTGTGTTTGTTTTGCCAATGAGAATTTTCTGGAGATTAATATTTTTCATTTATACAAAACGAGGCCACTTTTCCTAAGGATTTAAAATTAAATTTGTGAGAGTGCAACAATTACTGCGAAAAATTTGAAATTTCAATATCTTTTAAACGAGATTTTTATCGTGTTTAAAATATATAAGTTTTATACTTCAAATCTGTGTCTGGTTTTATTGACCGATTCAAATGACCATGTCCCACAGAATTCATTGTGTAAATAATACCTTTGACAATTTGTATGAATAATGTCAGACAGCATTCTACTTAATGACATATTTTTGCAGACAAAGTCTCTAACACCATTGACTTTGCGAAATAATGTCTTTTAAAGAGTTTGTTGATAGTTTTTTCATAAATAGAGCATGCTCTTGTGTTTTGAATCAACTGGGGAACATAACTTAATGTGCAGCTGATATAGGTACATAAAATGGGAAAATGGGAAGTTGACGATAGAGACTTTGAAGTCATCACATTTATTATAAATTTTTATAGTTAGTATGCAATAAATATCTTTTTTTTTAAAGAAAAATATCCAAATATTAAGCAGATGTGTCAGACTATGGTATCTTTTTTTTCAAGCTCAAAGGGATATATTTATATCGATCAACTTAGAATTAAAAGGAATATTATTTATTGATATGTCATATGTATAAATACTGAATTGAAGGCCACAGCAAGGTAAAGCTTTTTATATTTAGAAAAGTTTAAGGGTTTTTAATTTTATAAACCATTTAAACTTAATTGTGTTTGATTACTACATAAAAGGCCAGAGTTTTCCTGTTATTTTCTCCTCTGTCATACAACATAATTCCCACTGGAGTTTTTGAACTTTTTAAAAAAGTTTTTAAAATACCTATGAAACTCATCTTCTTAGGTCAAGGGTTTCTGATCCGCTCCGATCCACATAATGTTTATATGGAGCGGGACGGATCGGAATCCCTTGAGTTGGGAAGATGATGAAACTAAGTCCCCTTGAAATTTGAATGCACTCCAAAGTTTGGTCAAAGAAAGTACAAGCCAATGCTATTAATAAGAGAAATTTGAGTATGGACTTTTCAATCTTTTATATCTTTAAATATCTTGATACTTGATATCAAATACCAGTTATTTCTTCTTCCGATGAATACGACATGACAGGCTGGGGATGAGAGGACATAGTTACAATGAATGGAACAATCACTTTTTTCCTACTATCAGTGTACATACAATGTAAGAGGCTCCAATAAACAACATAATACCAAACGGAGTTTGAGCTGAAATTGCTATATCTACTAAAGCGTAAAAGATATGTTTCAAGCATACAAATTAACGATTCTTAAATTGAAAAAAATTGTAAATTTTTGCTTAATACTATGTAGAGAAATTGTTTTTATTTATAGCAATACGAGCTGCATTTTTGATTCTAATTTGCTGTTAAAACTTGCTATTTTTATAAAGTATGTAATTTGATCCTTTATGAACAATGAGACTGGAATGAAGTATTAATTTTTCGTTGAAGAAGAAAGTATAGTATAATATAAGAAATTAATATTGCAATGGACCACAATAATGTAATTTTTCTTCATTCATATATAAAAATAGCTCTTTTATTGCAAATATGAACAACAGAAGTTTAAAAATGTTCTTTTTTTCTGTCGTTGAAACAGTTAATTTCAATATAGCATTGAAAATTTCAGCCATTAAAGTTGCAGCTCATATTGTTTAAAAAAACAAGCAAAACGAAAAAGGATTTACATTTGAATTAATGTTAAAAACAAAATGTTATATTTTGTTTTTTTGTCA